GCTTGGTCGAGAAATCTGGGAGGAAAGCGGCTTCGCACTGTCTGAGGAGGTTCCAGCCAAGATGCTCGTCTACTTGGACAGTGTTGACGGTCAGCTGCGAAGAGCCGCAGCTCGCGCCTTGGCTGAAGCCTGCAAGGCACACAACTCGACGCTGGAGCCTACCTTGGAGTCTTTGAAGTCCTCATACACTGACCTCGCCAAGCCGCGTGTCCCTCAGTTGGATGAATATGGCATGCCTAAGAAAACCAATCTGGCAGATCCTTGGGAATCGCGCCACGGCATTGGATCTGCTTTCAAGGAATTGGCCCCTCACATGGCTAAGCAGCAGCTTGATCCTTTCTTTGAATTTTTGATTGAGAATGGGCCCTTGGGCGACCAGAACGCGAACGTTCGTGGCGAGATGCTAGATGCAGCCATCCACGCCATCGATCTGCATGGCAAGGGAATGGTCGACAAGTTGATGAAGGTATTCGAGCGTACGCTCGAAGGTCCGGACAAAAACACCGAAGCGACAGACCGTGTCAACGAGGCTGTCATCATCATGTACGGTGCGCTTGCGCGTCACTTGAACCCGGGTGATTCAAAACTTCCTGTGGTCATCGACAGGCTGCTGGCGACCTTGAGCACGCCTTCCGAGACCGTGCAGTATGCTATTGCTGATTGCCTGCCACCTTTGGTCCGGGCTTACGGAGACAAGTCATCCAAGTATTTCGCTCAGGTTCTTGAGACTCTGTTGACTTCCAAAAAGTATGCCGAGCAGCGAGGTGCTGCTTATGGTCTCGCCGGTCTCGTTCAAGGCCGTGGCATTTCATCGCTCAAAGATCAGCGCATTATGATGACACTGAGGGGTGCCATGGAAAACAAGAAGGAGCCGAACCAGAGAGAAGCGGCCCTCCTAGCTTACGAGCTTCTTTCCACCATTCTAGGTCGTCTCTTCGAACCCTATGTCATCCAAATCGTCCCTCAGCTCCTTACCGGCTTTGGTGATGCCAACGCCAACGTCCGAGACTCCTGTCTGGCAGCGGCAAAGGCCTGTTTCGGCAAGCTGAGCTCATATGGTGTCAAGAAGATTCTTCCTACCCTACTCAACGGTTTGGACGATGACCAATGGCGTAGTAAAAAGGGAGCTTGTGACCTGCTGGGAGCCATGGCTTATCTTGACCCCAACCAGCTGGCGCAGAGTTTGCCGGACATCATCCCCCCTCTCACTGGGGTTCTCAACGACAGTCACAAGGAGGTCCGTTCGGGTGCGAACAAGAGCTTGAAGAGATTCGGTGAGGTTATCAGTAACCCTGAGATCAAGGGTCTTGTCGACATCCTTCTCAAGGCGCTCAGCGATCCCACTAGATACACGGATGATGCCTTGGATTCTCTGATCAAGGTCCAATTCGTGCACTACTTGGATGCTCCGTCACTGGCGCTGGTCACAAGAATCTTGCAACGTGGTTTGGGCGACCGTTCAAACACCAAGCGCAAGGCAGCACAAGTCATTGGCAGTCTTGCGCATCTCACTGAGAGAAAAGACTTGGTCTCGCACTTGCCAATCCTTGTTGCAGGACTCAAGCTCGCCATTGTCGATCCCGTCCCCACAACTCGTGCCACGGCATCAAGAGCTTTGGGATCACTTGTGGAGAAGCTGGGAGAAGATGCCCTGCCGGATCTCATCCCTGGCCTCATGCAAACCCTCAAGGCAGACAACGGCGCTGGCGACCGCCTCGGTTCCGCCCAAGCTCTCAGCGAGGTTCTCGCAGGTTTGGGTACCACCAGACTCGAAGAGACTCTCCCGACCATTCTGCAAAACGTCGAGTCGACCAAGCCGGCTGTTCGCGAAGGCTTCATGTCCCTCTTCATCTTCCTCCCTGTTTGCTTTGGCAACAGCTTTGCAAACTACTTGGGCAGAATCATTCCGCCCATTTTGTCTGGTCTTGCTGACGATGTGGAGTCTATCCGCGAGACTGCTCTTCGTGCAGGTCGCCTACTTGTCAAGAACTTTGCTGTTCGCGCTGTTGATCTACTACTTCCCGAGCTTGAGCGTGGCTTGGCCGATGACAGCTACCGCATTCGTCTCAGCTCCGTCGAGCTTGTCGGTGACCTTCTTTTCAACCTTACAGGTATCAGTGGTAAGGCTGAGGATGAAGAGGAGGACGAGGAGAGCGCCAGAGAGGCAGGAGCATCACTCCGCGAGGTCCTCGGCGAAGAAAAGAGAAACAAGATTCTCTCTGCTCTCTATGTATGCCGCTGCGATACCGCCAACGCCGTCCGCTCTGCCGCCGTTGCTGTGTGGAAGGCCTTGGTTTCCAGCCCTCGCATCCTTAAGGAGTTGGTGCCAACGCTTACTCAACTCATCATCAAGCGTTTGGGAAGCTCCAACATGGAGCACAAAGTCATTGCTAGCAATGCTCTTGGCGAGTTGATTCGCAAAGCTGGCGATGGTGTTCTCTCCACCCTGCTGCCTACTCTTGAGGAGGGACTGCAAACCTCCACCGACACAGACGCGAAACAGGGCATCTGCCTTGCCCTCAAGGAACTTATTGCTTCGGCCTCGGAGGATGCCCTGGAGGACCACGAGAAGACGCTCATCTCTGTCGTCAGAACAGCCCTCACCGACTCAGATGCTGATGTCAGAGACGCTGCCGCAGAAGCCTTTGACTCTCTCCAGCAGATCCTAGGCAAGAGAGCCGTGGACCAGGTACTCCCATACCTGCTCAACCTCCTTCGCTCCGACGAGAACGCCGACAACGCCTTGTCAGCCTTGCTTACCCTCCTCACTGAGACGACTCGCTCGAACATAATTCTTCCCAACCTTATCCCCACGCTTATTACCCCTCCCATCTCTGCGTTCAACGCCAAGGCTCTTGCGTCCTTGTCGAGGGTGGCCGGTGCTGCTATGAACCGCCGCCTGCCCAATATCATTAACTCACTGATGGAGAACATCATCACCTGTGAAGACGAGGCTCTGCGGGAAGATCTCGAGACATCTTTCGATACTGTTATCCTGTCCATCGACGAATATGACGGACTCAACACAGTTATGAACGTACTGCTTCAGCTCACGAAGCACGACGATCACCGAAGACGTGCAGCGACGACCCGCCACTTGGGCAAGTTTTTTGCCGCTGGCGAAGTGGATTACTCGCGCTACAATCAAGATATTGTGCGGTCGCTCCTCATCTCCTTCGATGATAGAGACGCAAGTGTCGTCAAGGGTGCCTGGGCTGCACTTAGCGAGTTCACCAAAAAGCTCAAGAAGGAAGAGATGGAGGGCCTGGTTATTTCCACCAGACAAACTCTTCAGCAGGTCGGTGTGGCCGGCGCGAACTTGCCCGGTTTTGAGCTCCCCAAGGGTATCAACGCCATCCTGCCTATCTTCCTGCAGGGTCTTATGAATGGCACGCCGGAACAGAGAACACAAGCAGCCCTGGCTATCTCCGATATCGTCGATCGGACGAGCGAGGCTTCGTTGAAGCCGTTTGTCACACAAATCACAGGTCCACTCATCCGTGTTGTTTCCGAAAGGTCCACGGATGTCAAGTCTGCCATTTTGTTGACTCTCAACAACCTCCTGGAAAAGTTGCCTGCGGCACTGAAGCCATTCTTGCCTCAGCTTCAACGCACATTCGCCAAGTCTCTTGCAGATACATCGAGCGAGGTCCTCAGGGCCCGCGCGGCCAAGGCGCTGGGTACTCTTATCAAGTACACGCCGCGTATCGATCCGCTGATTGCCGAGCTCGTCACCGGCTCCAAGACATCGGATCCCGGTGTTAAGACGGCTATGCTCAGCGCGCTTTACGAAGTCATTAGCAAAGCGGGCGCTAACATGGGCGAAACATCGCGTACCGCCGTTTTGGGTCTCATTGACATGGACACCGACGAGAGGGACGATGCTATGACAATCACGAACGCGAAGCTACTTGGAGCACTGATTAAGAATGTTCCCGAGGAGGCAGCCAATGGGTTGCTCAAGAACAGAGTCGTGACTAGCCACTGGAGTCACTCTTCAGCACTTGCGCTGAACGCAGTGCTCGTAGAGTCTCCAAAGAGTCTGCTTGAAAGTCCTCTCGCGGACGACTTGCCCGACCTCCTTGGTCAGGGCATGTCTCACAAGAACGTAAGTAATTCATGATGATGGCTTTCTAATAACGCAGAACTAACACGTGTCACAGCCTTACATTGCCGACAACGTCATCCTCGCAACGGGCAAATATCTTCTTTCAGATTCAACAAAGTCTTTTGACTCGAATAAGAAGATTTTTGAGGCACTCGCCAACACGATCCAACCGGGTGGCCCTGTCGACTCGCGCCGACTTGCTCTGGTTATTGTTCGCACGATGAGCCGCGTGGACATGGATATGGTCAGGCCGCACGTTGCTGCGCTTGCAGGACCCATCTTTGCCAGTGTCAGAGACCCTGTTATTCCGGTCAAGCTGGCCGCCGAAGCTGCATTCATGGCCTTATTCAATGTGGTGGACGATGAGACACGGGTCTTTGACAAGTATGTCGAAAGCGCCAATCTGCCGCCGAATACCAAGAGGAGCATGCAGGATTACTTCAAGCGCGTCACGATGCGACTGGGTGCCCAAGCGCGTGAGCGGAGAGAGGCTGAGGGTGGCCAAGGGGGCCTGGGTCTGTCGAACGACGAGGTCGAGGACGAGAAGGAGATCTGGAGCGTGGGCAAGGTCGACGTTGGCGAAGACGTATTTGGCAAGTAGATAGGCACAAATGTTGTCGTAAGAGCAAGGGGTCGATATTGAAATTTAAAAGTTTTGTTTTACATGATCACTGGGCGGCTTTGGTGAGTAAAATATCATTTGTCCCCTAGATTAAGCCTCGAGTAAGTACCTAAGATCATCTGTGCGGTCCTGGAAGATGATAAACGTAAGTCGTGGTTGCACTATCTAATAGGCATGAAGGCCCATCAAAGTTGAGGTATCTCCTAGAGAATCAACGGCGACGAGCGAGACCAAACATGATACCCTACCTCGTGCAGTACCTACCGCTGAATGACTGCTGAAATCAAGGTGTAAGTGGTTTCAATGAGTTTGGCGAGAACCATCCCATTCTTTACTTCAATCGTACAACTCAACCCGCGCTCATAAGTCATAAGAGGATAGGAATATGACATGGGATTGCGAGGTACCTCAGGTACCTATGGTGAGATCCTTGCCGAGCAATACCAATCTTCCAAAGGTGCCCTGAACATGTAGTGCAAGTACCTGATGTATCCCTCATTTGCGTGCACCGGCCCCCTAAGACACACCAAAGGGCCTATGTCGTTAACGACACGTGACCTTGGAGCGAAAGTGTGGCCTCGATTTTTCCGGGCTCGCTTACCCATCGCCCCACATTGCCCACACAGAGTCAGCCCCGACTCTGCTCTCACACTTCGCCTTTCAGAAAAATTGGCCTCCTGTCACCCCTCTCGAAATTTCAACACCCTCGACTCCCCCGGTAGGTACGACCATCGACTAGGACAGCATTCAAGATGTAAGTTATCACGATACGAGCACTATACCATTCTTCTACCGAGCCCGAATCGATTTGCGTCGCCTTCTGCACCGGGCAAGCCTTATTTAGGGTCTATCGAAGCCCGGGACACGCGGGGGCGACAAAAACCGACAACGGCATCTATCAATTCGACGGCGGGGCGACAATATTTTTTTTCTCCCATCACCAAGGACAAATTGCTGATGTCCAATGTCTTCACAGGGTCAATCTGCGAACTCAGAAGCGCCTTGCCGCGTCGGTCATCGGCTGCGGTGAGCGCAAGATCTGGCTCGACCCCAACGAGGTCAACGAGATCTCCAACGCCAACTCTCGCCAGACCATCCGCAAGCTCGTCGCCGATGGCCTCATCATCCGCAAGCCCGTGACCATGCACTCGCGGTCCCGTGCCCGTGAGCTGAACTTGGCTCGCCGCATCGGTCGCCACCGTGGCTTCGGTAAGCGCAAGGGTACCGCTGAGGCCCGTATGCCTAGGTTCGTCGACACCATTCCCATCGATCGGTTCGCTATTGGAAATTACTTTCGGGATATCGCTTGGGCAACTCCCTAAACGTTCGACAACGATACCCACAAGTCTTCCGGCTCGCGGACCGATTTGATACACCTGGTCGAGATTCGTACTGACTCCCCATACAGCCAAGTCCTCTGGATGCGCCGCCTCCGTGTCCTTCGCCGTCTTCTGGTGAAGTACCGTGCCTCCGGCAAGATCGACAAGCACCTTTACCACGAGCTTTACCACTCCAGCAAGGGTAACGCCTTCAAGCACAAGCGTGCTCTCGTTGAGCACGTAAGTCTCGCCGCTATACCTTTGGATTGCAATATTGGAGATGAGTGGTGGGCTGACGCCGGATACCTCATAGATTCACCGTGCCAAGGCCGAGAAGGCCCGCGAGAAGGCTCTCAAGGACGAGATGGACGCCAAGCGCGCGAAGACCAAGGCTGCCCGCGAGCGCAAGCAGGAGAGACAGACGGCGAAGAGAAACGCTCTGTTGGGCGAGGGCGAGGAGGAGGCCAAATAGATGATCACGATCGATCTCGGTCCTTAGGCGGCTGCATTCGGAGTCATCGGGTTGGGTCTTCTTTTTTTACGTCCTACTGTCCCTATTGTCGCAGCAGGGCTTTGGCATGTAGCATTGAAAAATGGAAATCGATGACATGGCAAATTACGGGAACGAAAATGAGTAGCAGCAATTCTTTTACGGTTCTACATTCATGAGAGTCCTCGTGACATTTTCCTGGTCTTGTCTGATGATAGATACCCTTTTTTCAACCCTTCTCAGAATCGTTCACCACCTGGGCCAGTTACTCGTCTTTTTCTCGGTGAAGTCTAAGCGTCATACACCGCGTGCTTGTCCGCACTCATCAAGCATGGGCCACCACCTATCAGGATTGTCAGGCTAAATGATGTTTAGTATGATGGACATCGGAAAACTGGTCACACAATATGTCCAGCCAGAATACGGTGTAGGATAAAGGAAACTCCAGCACCCAAGTCATCCGATCAGGGTCGACTACAAGTCAGTGCTCGCAGCCATTCAAATTCTCGAATAGGACTTCTCCGGACGGTGTCAGCCCATTGTGGTTTGGGCTTCCGCAATTAGTAGGAGAGTATAAGGCCATAGCTAGGCCTACAAAGGACTACCGGGCTGTTCCTTATCATTGCTTCAAAACGTACCGTGGACAACAAGTCGGCGTCGCCATAATCATTCAACAATGCTTCCGGCGTCCGGGACGGACGTTCATGGCACTTGCCAGGATGCCCGTCCTCGATTACATTCCGAGTCACGTCTTAAACATTTGTTCTATCTGAGGGCGGAACAGATGGAAGAGTAATTCTAAAACCGTGTCCGTCGCGTCGACCATCGACTTAAGATGGAAAAGTTTTATAAAAAAATTAGAGGATCAAAAACAACGAGTAAAAGAAGCACAACATGGATTGGATCAGATTGTTTCAAATTGTCCTGAAAAAAGGTGGTGAGGACGCCAGAACATTTCATCATGCACCCGCCGAAGCGGAAGAGCTGATGTGACAATAAGCGTGCTCGTCATCTCCAATTTAGTTGTAAAGAGAAGAAGAAGAGAAAAGGAAAAGCTGATTTCACAACGCGGCCTTGAAAAAGGGTAGAGATTGTGGGGCTGGGGCAAGCGCGGCGAGTCGCTACCGAGAGGCCCGTGCGGGGTTTGCTCAATGTTCTCAACTTTCCATGGAGGACGGATCCAAGAAGCCCTTGAAGGGAGTGGAATGATATCAGTGCCTTGGGTGATGGAGATGCCCGTTTGTTTCTTGTCCCACAACGATGGGCCGATGCGATAAGCATTGATAAGCGCGCAGCGCGGAGCGCAGGCTGGCAGGATGGAAATTGGAACGCAGTGCGCGACGGACGAGTGCGAGGTCGGAAGTTGAGCCGAACCCCGGCTCCAACCGCCAACCACCAACACAGCACTGAGCAGCTCGGCCACCACACCGGGCGCTTTGCTTTGCCTCATGGTTCTCGGGTCACATCCCGCCTGAAGCAGCGGCAGTTGTCCCCCGAAACCCCCCAATCCTCAGGTCCTTATGTACCGCGGTCCCCCAATGCCTGTGCACGCCCGCCGCTACATCATGGCATTGTTGTAGCTGGGTCAATTGGTTTGTAGTTGTAAGCTCCGTCCCTACCTTATACACCGGTATGTCGTCCGCCTTCCTTCGTTAACCGCCACCTACTCTGTCTCACCCTCCTTCAACTTGTCCTCCTACGCATCCTCCAATCTTCTTCAAGCTTCGCAGCAGCTATTGAAATAGGCAATTGATTTCTCAATTCATAGTTTCCCTGTTTCGCCGGCGCCATGTCACTTCCAGCATTTCGAGGCACAGCTCGTGCTTCCCGCTTCCTACCGAGAGCGGCGTCAGTCCCCTGCGCAGGTGGCGTGAGGCGATCCATCTCGACAAAGAGCTTGGAGGGCCAGCAACAGGTGCGCATAGCCTTCCCTATTGCGTTTTGGATACAAACGGGAACGTTCCTCAACTGACTCTATAAGCAACAGCTGCTGGCAGCCAAGCTTCAGCAGGCCGACCCCGCCGTCTTCGACATCATCGAAAAGGTACGAGCCTACCCAAGCCGTCGATAGCTCCCCAGCACACAAACTTGTGCGCCGACGATGCTTCCCATACGGTATACCCGCTAATATGGTTGGAAACACATAGGAGAAAACCAGACAGAAGCACTTCATCAACCTCATTCCCTCAGAGAACTTCACCTCCCAGGCCGTTCTCGATGCCTTGGGCAGTGTGATGCAGAGTAGGTCCATTGCTGGCTCAAGATGCGACAAAAGCTAAGATTACATCCAAGACAAGTACTCCGAGGGTTACCCTGGCGCAAGATACTATGGCGGTAACGAATTCATCGACCAGTCAGAGCGTCTCTGCCAGCAGCGTGCGCTTGATACATTCGGTCTCGACTCAAAGCAATGGGGTGTCAATGTTCAAGGTGCGCTCAGCTTACAGCACAGGGTCCCGTTTCCTATGCATTTGCTTACACATTTTTCTAGCTCTGTCCGGTGCGCCGGCCAACTTGTACGTCTACTCGGCGTTGATGGACACCCATGATCGCCTCATGGGTCTGGACCTGCCCCACGGTGGTCACTTGTCGCACGGCTACCAGACACCGACTAAGAAGATCTCTGCCATTTCAAAGTACTTCGAGACAGTCCCCTACAGATTGGACGAGGCTACTGGGCAGATCGACTATGCCAAGTTGGAGGAGCTTGCTATGCTCTACCGACCCAAGATCATTGTCGCAGGAGCCAGCGCATACAGCCGTTTGATCGACTACCAGCGCTTCCGCGAGATATGTGACAAGACCAACGCTTACCTCGTGGCGGATATGGCCCACATCTCCGGCCTGGTGGCAGCCAAGGTCATGCCCAGCCCGTTTGACTACGCCGATATCGTCACTACTACAAGTCACAAGAGTCTGAGAGGACCTCGTGGCGCCATGATCTTCTTCCGCAAGGGAGTGCGTCGCCAGAATGCCAAGAAGGAGGACGAAATGTACAACCTCGAGGGCCCCATCAACGCCTCCGTCTTCCCCGGCCACCAGGGTGGCCCTCACAACCACACCATCACCGCCTTGGCCGTTGCCCTGAAGCAGGCCCAAGCCCCTGAGTTCCGCGCCTACCAGTCCCAAGTTCTAGCCAACGCGAAGGCGCTATCCCAGAGACTAGGTGCTCCCAAGGAAAAGGGAGGTCTGGGCTACAGCATTGTCTCTGGCGGCACCGACAACCACCTTATTCTTGTGGATCTCAAGCCCCAGGGCATCGATGGCAGCCGCGTTGAGCGTGTGCTGGAGCTAGTTGGTGTTGCTGCCAATAAGAATACTGTACCAGGTGACAAGTCGGCACTTGTGCCTGGTGGGTTGCGCATCGGTACGCCTGCCATGACGACGAGAGCTTTCACTGAAGAGGACTTCAGCCGTGTGGCCGACATTATTGACCGCGCCGTCACCATCGCTATTCGCGTCAACAAGAGCGCCAAGAAGGCGGCCGAGGAGAAGGGAGAGAAGAAGCCCGGTCTGTTGAGACACTATATGCAGCACCTTGGTGACGGTGAGAACGATCCCGAGATTGTTCAGCTGAGGTCCGAGGTAGCCGACTGGGTGGGCACTTACCCTTTGCCGTGGGACGTTCACTCTTCTTGAGCGATGCGATGAGACCAGCTCCGACGAGCTTATAGGGCATGAAAACTCGTCGTGAAAAGGGCACTAGGCACGGGATTTCTTATACCTTTACGGCGTTCTATGGGGGCATTCTTGATGAGACAGGCTTTGCGAGGACGATTTCGGTCTCATTGTTCCATCCAGCCTCACTGATTTTCACATCAAACACGGGTCTATCTATATCCATGAGATTACCCACTCCCCCAAACTGCATATGCATAGTTTGGAGGGACTTGCAGACCGATTAGCGTTGACAAAACTTGACCATCCTCAACAAGATGGTGGAATAGAAATTGCAGCTGCAGGAAAATCTGCTCTTGAATTTGTGCTTTGAACAAATGTGGTTGTGACCATTCGTGAACTTAAGTCTCAGATGATTAACGCATTCACAGAAGAGGAAGACTATAAATCCAAGCTGTGAAAAAGAAGAAAAAAATGCATGGCTACAAAGTGTATTTGGAACTATTGAAAGCTATCCAGTAAGCGATGTCCGCCATCTAAACACTTCGCCCTCAAAGCTTGCCCTACGTCCGTCCTGGTACCATCTTTGTAGCTCAGTCTTTCTGTGACTTCTTGCCTGAGGGACTTTCACTCGGCTTCGATGACTCGATCACGCCTGAAGTCTTTGGATCTGCCGATACAGCCCCAGTGGCATCAGGTTGGGCTGCATCGAGGACCTTGGTGGCAGAGTCGGTGGACTTGATTCTCTCGTAGTACGCCTTCAGCTTCTTAGTTGTTTCCAGGGTTTCGGCGTTGGCATCCTTGAAGATTACGTGTAAGACCGGCCATACGGCAAAGTCGGCGAGCGATACACTCGAACCCGCAATGAAGTCGGCCTCGCCTGCATATCCCTCCCAGGTGGTGAGCTCTCTCTTCAAGGATGCGAGGTCGCGCTTTCCTGACTTGCTGTCTTTCTCAAGCCCTCGCCACTTGTCGAGGAGCGCAAGACCATCCTGAAAACGTGTAAAGGTTCTCGCAACATCGACTTGCGCTCTATCTGCCACTCCCTTCTTTCCGGACCCGTGTACTGAATCCAGATAGATCATAATGGCCAACTCGCCCTGAACCGTGGATTTGGCTACATCGTTGTCGACGAATCGAATCGGCAGCGATGCAGAAACAGCCGGTATATCCTTGCCGCCGGCGTTGCTATCCTTCCAGTTGAAGGAAGGCGAAATGCTCCCTTTGGCGTACGAGATGCCGTACTCGGCTAACATTAGGGCGATGCGCATGTTAACGACGGGGTCGGCCGAGGTGCAGAGGCGCGGTGAAGTGCTCATGTGCAGAACATCGAAGCCCTTGCCATAATACTTGTCCCAGTCGAA